AAAACAATGAAAAATTAAGTAGATGAACTACTAAGATTAATGAAAATAAGAAACAAAAAGGCAAATAAATAAAGCAAAAAGAAAGGATTAGAGATTATTAAAGAGAGGATTAATAAAAGATGAAAGCTTGAAGTGTTGCTTGATTGAAGATTAAACTTGATCAAAGTTGAGTACAAAAGAGGAAACATGAGTAATAATCCCCTTTCTTTCTCTAAGATTAGGGCTAAATGTTGATAAGATAAAAGATGATTACAAACTTAATTAAGGGGGCTATTTATATGCATAAAAAAAGACGGAAATAAAACACAAAGGAGAGCCCTCTAGGAAGAAGCCGCGCCATCTCAAAATCTGGATTCGGAGCTGCTTAACCCACCATCCCGCGCCCTCTAGCAAAAACCCCCGCCCGCGATTGAAAGTAGGAGAGGCCGTTCTTGTTGAGGAGAGGCCACGTTCTGAAATCAGGGGAAAAGGCATCCTTTATATGCCACGCCCGCGGCTCCAAGTGTCTTGCCCGCGGGTCAAGGAGGAGAGATCTCTTTAGGGCGCGGCACGACATCTACCAAAAGTCTGGTAAATCTTCAACATAAAGCTCCGCGCCCGCGGCCCTTGACTCCGCGCTCACGACTTCTGCAAGGCCATTACACCTTCCTTAAGCATCTCATTTCCCTTCCAAAGCTCGACATGCATCCATAGGTGCATCCAAAAGGGCCAATAACCTACAAAACAATGAAGAAATACTAAGAAAACCAAAGAAAAAGGGGAAAAAGGAAAGGAAACACAAGAAGGGATAAAAGAAAGCAAAACTAAGGTAGAACGCTTAGTAAAGGCTCAAACAAGTGCAAATGAGGGGAAAACACCTTGAACTAAATATTGGATGCAATTCAACAATAAATTGTTACTCAAATCAAATAATAAATTAACTTAAACATGATTCTAGAAATATAAAAATAAAATAAGTAATTAAATTAATTAATTACTCACATTTCACGCGCGCCTTTAAATTGCTACATCATAAATAAATTATTAGTAACTTCAATAAAAATATAACTCAAATTGAAGTTAAATTAAGGAAAAAGTGATTTGAATTGGTCCAAACCCTTAGTTAATTCTACCTTTCACGCCTTGGTTTAAGGACGGAACCTCGGGTGTTGTATGGACTCCTTGGAGTGCTTAAGGAAGGAATAATGTAGTTAGGTTTATATGTTTAAGGCTTAGAATATGAGAGAGAGATAAGAGAATAACTTTTGGTGTAGAAGAGAGAAAGAGAGAATCATTTGGTCCCTGAATTGTAGAATGGAGGGGAGTATTTGGGGCGCCGTGACACAATAGAGGTTGTCATGACACGGAAAATCTGCCATGACACAACTAAAAATGTTGCGTCACGATAAATTAACTACCCTAAAAAGATAAAATGCGTGTAGGTTTTACACGGAGAAAACACGGAATAATTTTGTTACGCGTCACATGTACCATGACGGGGGGAAAATCCACCGTGGCGCCGTGTCACAGTGTACTTTTTTATTCGAAATGTTTGAGGAAATGCGGAAAATACATAAAAAAGGCACCGTGACACGGTGGCAGTATGCACCGTGCCACGTCAGCCTTTGCCGCATTGCGACATTTTAGCTGTTGTGCGATAATTCTAGTTTTTTACGCGTTTGTAAAACTACAATACCTTTTGATCCGTAACTTGGAATAAGGTATATAATGTATCATTGGAAATCTTATCAAGTGTACTTTCCAACCAAATTAAAATCAGGTCAATATCATTTTTATATTTTAAGATATGGCTATTTTTGTGAAAGGGTGGCGGTTTTGGGCTGAGTTTAGTATTTTGCTCAGATCTTCTTCGTTTTAAAACAAAATTGGGCTTATGATATATTTTTGGAAAGCTTATTTCATGGAATATCCAAAAATTAATAATGGATCAAAATTATATGGCCACAAAATCAGTTTCTCTCGGTTTTGTGATGTGGACACGAAAAGTGAAAATAAGTTATGGATTAGGGAAATGAGCTAGGTATTTGATTGGTTTATAAAATGTATTGAATGGAAATATGGATGAAGCACTCCAAAGGTTAAATACTCAACCAGATAAATAATGGCGTCGAAAGGTTGTTCATCATCGGGTTTGGTTTTAGGGAGACATTTTTAGTTTTGTACAATAAGCATCAAACCTAAGTTCTTCTAATTCATGAAGATCCAACCACCTTTGTTCTATTGCACTCCCAAAATTGGAGATGATTTTATTAATTGCCCAACGAGCGTGGTGCTTAAGCTGCACCAGAAGATGATATGATTTTCCAAAAACATGACGGTATGGAGTGGTGCCTATGGGAGTCTTGAAAGTCGTTCAATATGCCCATAAAGCATCATCAAGCTTGTCCGTCCAATCTTTCGTATTCCTAGAAACCGCCTTCTTAAGATCAACTTTATTTGATGGTTGGACACCTTAACTTTTCCACTATTTTGAGGATGGTAAGGAAGACCAAAAAGTTGATGAACGCCATGCTTTATCAACAACTTTTGGAAATCATTATGTATAAAATGCGATCCATTGTCACTTATTACCACCTTAGGCACACCAAATCTAGAAAAGATGATCTTTTTTAATAGCTTCATCACCACTTTTTGGTCATTTGTAGGGGAGGCAATGACATCAACCCATTTAGAAACATAATCGACCTCAACAAGGATGTATTGGTTTCCGAATGAAGAAGGGAATGGTCCCATGAAATCAATGCCCCATTCATCGAAAACTTCCAACTCGAGGATGGGTTGTTGAAGCATCTCATTCCTCTTTGAAATGTTTCCGGACCTTTGGAACCTACAACAAGACTTGATAAAACCCCAACTATCCTTAAATAGGTGCAACCACAATGAACCACTTTGGAGAATCTTTAAAGTGATTTTGGAAACTCCCATGTGACCACCACCAGGATCCGAGTGAGAAATCTTCAAGACATTTGGCACTTCTTCACTTAGAATGTAACGACAGAGTAAGCCATTAACTCCTCGCTTATACAAAATTATATCATTCCACAAATAGTCTTGTGCTTCTCTCCTAAGCTTCTTTCTTTGATTCTTCAAAAATGAAGGTGGAAAAGCCCCACATGCTGGAAATTTAACCAAATCGGCGAACCAAAGGATTTCCTTCACATCAATGGCATATAAAAAATCATCAAGCATTCTATCTTTAATAGGGGAATCATCATCTTGGACTTGGAAGTCTTTAAGGCGGGAGAGGTGATCCGCCACAACATTCTCCGCCCATTTCTTGTCTATAACCTCAATATCAAATGTTTAAATTTCAAACACACATCAAAACAATTTAGGATTTGATTCCTTATTAGCAAAGAGATATTTGAGATCCTCATGATCCATGAAAAAAATGGTCTTGGAACCCAACAAATAACAACGTGAATTTCTCAAAAGCATGCACAATTGCTAAAAACATTTTCCGTTGTTGTGTAGTTTCGTTGAGCTCCATTGAGGGTTTTTGACATACATATAATAGATAAAATGGAGCTTCTTATTAACCCTTTGACCAAAAACACCTCCTATAGCAATATCACTAGCATCACACATCAATTCAAAAGCTAAATCCCATCTCGGGGCTTGGAATCTGGAGGTGGAAGTTAAGGCTTTCATCAATTTGTTGAATGCTTCCAAGAATCTATCATCAAACACGAACTAAACATCCTTTTGAAGAAGATCGTTGAGGGGCTTAGAAATTAGAGAGAAATCCTTGATGAATCTCCAATAAAACCTGGCATCCCCCAAGAAAGACCTCACACCTTTTTCATTGACCGGAGATGGTAGCTTTTTAATGACTTCAATCTTTCCTTGGTCCACCTCTATTCCTTTGTAAGAGATATTATGACTAAGGACAATGCATTCCTCGACCATAAAGTGATATTTCTCCCAATTCAAGACTAGATTAATTTTCTCACACCGAGCCAAACACTTTTCAAGGTTCTCAAGATAAGCTTCAAATGAAACACCTCCCACCAAAAAATCATCCATGAACACTTCCATTTCCTCTACCATAATATCACAAAATATGCTCATCATACACCGTTAGAAGGTGGCGGGGGCATTACAAAGTCCAAATGGTATTCTCCTTTAAGCAAAGGTCCATATGGGCATGTAAAAGTTGTTTTCTCTTGGTCATCCGGGTGAATAGGAATTTGAAAGAAACCAGAATAATCATCAACAAAACAGAAATACTTATGCCTTGTTAGTCTTTCAAGCATTTGATTAATGAAGGGAAGGGGGAAATGATCCTTTTTGGTGGATGTGTTTAGACGTCGATAATCTATACACATCCCCCATCATGTGACTGTCGTTGTAGGAATGAGCTCACCTTTCTCATTCTCCACAACGGTCATGCCTCCTTTCTTTGGGACAACGTGGAATGAGGAAACCCATTTTGAGCTAGAGATGGGGAATATGATTCTCGCATCCAATAGCTTGGTGATTTTCTTCTTGACTACTTCCCCCATTTGAAGGTGAAGTTTTCGTTGTCTTTCAATGCTTGGTGAGGCATTATCTTCAAGAGTGATGTGGTGCATGTATAAGGCGAGAATAATACCCTTGAGGTCAGCAATGGTATAGCCTAAAGCACCTCGGTGCTTTCTTAACACACCATACCGCTTTTGAGCTTGGCTCTCACTCAAGGAGGAACTAAAAATCACGAGAAAAGTTGAGTTAGGATCTAAGAACTCATACCTAAGGTGTGATGGAAGAGGTTTGAGCTCAACCATGGGGACACCTTTACCTTCTTTTGTTGTAGCCGCTTGCAATGCTTCTTGGCTAGCTAGTGATGTTCATGCACATTTGCTCGTCTTCAAGGCTCCCATTGAGAAAATCTTCACACAAAGCCATCTCTTTCCTAGGAAAACCTTTCTTTTTCCTTATTCAACAAAACATTCTCAAGAGCATCATTAGAAGCAATTTCTCATGCATAGAAGACACAACATTATCAAGAGAGTCTATCATCATACATTCTCCAAGGAAGAACTTGGATACTTCATGCTATCATTCAAGTCAAATTCAATCACCTCATCTCCTACCTTAAGTGAAATTTTATCACTGTTGACATCGATTATAGCACCCGAGGTAGCAAGAAAGGGTCTACCTAGAATGATAGGAATGCTAGCATCTTCATCCATCTCAAGTACCACAAAATCCATCAGAATAACAAATTTGCCAACCCTCAAAGGGACATCATCTACCTGATCCTTTGGAAACTTGATTGACCTATTGGCTAATTGTAAAGTAATGTCGGTAGGCAAGAGTTCCCCTAGTTTAAGCCTTTGGTACACCGAATATGGCATAAGGCTAACACGAGCTCCAAGGTAACATAAGGCATTAACACTACATGAAAAAACGTAATTGGCACCGGTTCAAAACCCTTAATGCAACCGGTTTTGAACCGATGCCAATTACGAGCATGAAAAGCCACCGGTTTAATCACCTAACAATTAAATAAAAAAAAAGATTATCACAATTAAATCTAACGAATTTCAATCAATATAATCCAAATTTTACAATATATAATAAAAAAAATTATAATCAATTGCAACATATAAATAAATAAAAAAAATTTACATTATAAATAAAAAAAAATTACAATATACACGTAAATAAAAAAAAATTACAATATAAAAAAAAACAAAACTCCTACACATCTAAATCAATAGTCTTGAATCTTGATTCTTGAATTTGAGATCTAAATTGATGTACCTGTACCAATTAAAAAAAACAAAAGATTAATATAAATAAGCTTTGAAAAACAAAAAAAAAAACAGAAATTCAATGAAAAAAATTCAAACCCAGAAAAATAAAGCAAGAATTCAAACCCGGAAAAAAAAAACAAACCAGAAATTTAAATGTATGAAAATCGAATTGAAACCCAGAAAAAATAATAATAAACCGGAAATCGGAAAAAAAAAATCAAAATGAAACCAAGAAAAAAAAATCAACCCCGAAATCGAAATTGAAAAAAAAAATTAACCCCAAAAAAATATGACCCCAGACATCGAAAAAAATGAAAATCGAAAAAAAAACAAACCCAGAAAAATCGAAAAATTAAACAGAATTAAAATCCAAAATCAAACACATGCAAGAACCCATAAAATCGATTTAAATCCAGAAAATCGAAAAAAAACACATGCAATAAACCCAGAAAATCGAAATAAGAAATCCAAATCCAGAAATCGAAATCGAAAAAAAAACACATGCAATAAACCCAGAAATTCGAAATCCGAAAATCGATTCAAATCAATTAATGAAACCTAGAAAAATCAAATTAAAATCCAAAATCAAACCCAAAAAAACACCCAATAAACACAAACCCAGAAAAATCGAAAAAATAAACCCAAAAAATCAAACCCATCTTGATTAGATTCGTTGTTGTTCGTGGTCTTGATGGTGGTCTTGGGTGTTGGACTTGGTTGTGATGTTGGTTGTCGTCTTCGGTGGTGTTTAGGAGAACAAGGGGGTTTTTTTCAGGGAGAGGAGAGAGAAAAGAGAGAGGAGAGGAGAGGAGAGAGAAGAGAGTAGAAGAGATCAGGAGAGAGAGAGGAGAAGGGAGGCCGAGTATGAGGGTAGGGTTTAGGGAAATATAAGGGGTTTTTTTTTTTAAAAAAAAAAAGGTTTTTCCACTGGTTCGGTTGAAACCGGTTTGAACCAAACCGGTGGCAAAAAACTTCTTCTAAAAAACCCGCCTACTTTAACCCATATTTTTGCCACCGATTTTGAAGAACCGTTGCCATTAAGGCAGTGTCATTCTACTTTTTCACCTAGTGTCGATAGCATACGGGATGAAAAAGTTTTCAGGATCATTTAGCTTAGGTTCCATTTTGTTCATTATGGTTGCACTACAATTCTTGGTCAAGTTCACCGTCTCCACAACATCACAAGTCCTCCTACCGCTTAAAATATCTTTAAGTGATTTTGCATAGTTCGGCATTTAGGTGAAAACATCAGTAAATGGTGGAGAAAGACGAAGTTGTTTGAGCATGTGTATAAATCTTCCAAATTGTTCATACAACTTGTGCCTCATAAATCTTTGTGGATAAGGAATCTTGGGTTTCACAACTTCTTTTTCTTCCTTCACCTCCTTAGGTGGCTCTTCCATTAATTTACTCAAAGATGCATCAACTTCCTCATTCTCAACTAAAACCTCCTTGGCCCCCTCTTTACTTTTACTCATTCTAGGAAAACTCTTCTCAAGAACCCTACCACTCCTTGTGACTATAGCATTAACAGGTGTCTTAGGGTCTACGCCTTAAGAAGGTAAAAAAGAAGGGCTTCCTTGGTCTTTCAAAGCTATGGAAAGTTGAGAAATTTTTTTTTTCAAGCATCTTATTATAGATCATCATGTAAGTGTTCAACAACTTGGTTTAATTTTCAATGATTTCCTCCAAGTTAGTCATAAAAGAAGAAGAGGGTTGAATATAGGAATCATCACTTTGGGTCTTTGGAACAACTCTGGGTGGGGGACCCTTTTGAGTATTGTTTTGAACATTTCCCCTATTTTGATTGTTCCAATTACATCTACTTTGATTTTTACCATAACCTTGTTTATGTTTACCATAACCTTGGTTATGATTACCATAATTTTGGTTTTGATTTTTGCCACTGTGACCTTGGTTGCACTAGTAGAAAAAAGGCATAGGGCACCGGTTCAAACCCGGTCTAAGGCACCAGTTTGAACCGGTTTCAATGTAGGGGGTGCCAATTACCCCCCTTTTTAGCACCGGTTCAAAACTGGTGCCCTAAACCGGTTTTGGCACCGATTAACCGGTGCCTTTTATTATTTTTGCCACCAATTAACCGGTGCCTTAAATAATCTCCCGCGTTTTTTTCTGTGGTGGTAGCTTTAACCGGTGCCTTTTCAATAAATTTATTTTTTATTATTTTTTTTTCATTTTTCGTGCAATAATAAAATAAACACCCTAATTCCAGCAATAATAACCTATAATTCCAGCAATAATATTAAATAAAATAATTAATAATATTATTACTATAATTACTAAAAATAATAATATTATTATTTATTATAATAAGATAAAAATAATATTAAAAACAAGAATTCATATATGTATAGATATAAATATTCCCAAACGCAATAAAAAAAATGTTATATATATATATATATATATATATATATATATATATATATATATATATATATATATATATATACAAATGATAGTAAGTAAATAATGAATAATAATATAGTTAAAAAGTTAACATAAATTTACAATTAAAATGACATTTACATGTTGAAGTTGATAAAAGACGCCTACATGTCACGAACTTCATTAAGTTCCTTGATTGTCAATGGACCATCCTTTTGTACCTTGTAAAACTTGAAATACAAAAAAATTATGTTATAATTAATTAATTAGGAAAAACGATATGTATTTTATCAAATATGACCTTTGTGACTTCTATTTAGCCCATTTCCTACATTTCTTATCAAATGAACTATTTCTTTATCATAACATAACAATATCATCTAGTTTTATGTGTCTAAGCCCTAAAATTGAATCAAAAGGGCATTTTATTAAGGTTTAAGATGCTTTTTACTAAAAATGGCCCAAACATAGCCTATATGACTTTACTTTGCCCATTTTCTACATTTCTTATCAAATGAACTTTATTAATTTCATAACATGTTAATATTATATAGTTATAGGTGTTTAAGGAAAGAAATCACATCAAAAGAGCATATTAACACAAAATGGCCTAAATATGGCCCATATGACTTCTATTATGCCCATTTTCTACCTTTCTTATCAAATGACCCATTTATTTCTCATAACATGTCAATGTTGGGTAATATTAGGTCTCTAAGGCTAGAAATCACATCAAAATAGCATTTCATTATATTTTAGGACGCATTTTACTCAAAATGGCCCAAATATGACCTATTTGACTTCTATTTAGCCCATTTCCTACATTTCTTATCAAATGAAGTATTTATTTAAATAACATGTCAGTGTCACCTATTTTTATGTGTCTAAGGCCTAAAATTGAATCAAAAAAAGATTTTATTAAGGTTTAAGACGCTTTTTACTCAAAATGGCCCAAATATGGCCTATATGACTTTACTTTGCCCATTTCCTACAATTCTTATCAAATGATCTTTATTTATCTCATAAAATGTCAATATTATCTAGTTATAGGTGTACAAGGAATGAAATCACATCAAAAGAGCATATTAACACAAAATGGCCCTAATATGGCCTATATGACTTCTATTGAGCCCATTTTCTACCTTTCTTGTCAAATGACCTTTTTATTTCTCATAACATGTCAATGTTGGATAATATTAGGTGTCTAAGGATAGAAATCACATCAGTATAGAATTTCATTAAGTTTAACAACACATTTTACTCAAAATGGCCCAAATATGACCTATATGACTTATATCTAGCCCATTTCCTACAATACTTCTCAAATGAACTATTTATTTCTCATAACATGTCAATGTCACCTAGTTTTATGTGTCTAAGACCTAAAACTGAATCAAAAAAGCATTTTATTAAAGTTTAAGACGCTTTTTACTCAAAATGGCCTGAATATGGCCTATATGAATTTATTTTGCCCATTTCCTACATTTCTTATTAAATGAACTTTATTTATCTCATAACATGTAAATATAATCTAGTTATAAGTGTATAAGGAAAGTAATCACATAAAAAGAGCATATTAACACAAAATGGCTTAAATATGGATCATATGACTTCTATTCATCCCATTTTCTACCTTTCTTGTCAAATGACCTATTTATTTCTCATAACATGTTAATGTTGGGTAATATTAGGTTTTTAAGGCTAGAAATCACACCAAAATAGCATTTAATTTAGTTTTAGGACTTGCATCATCAAGTTGTTGACTGTCCGTACAATGAGTCACCATGTCAAGCATGAATCTCATCACATACAAAGCACAATCAAGTCCATTTTCTTGTCGTGCGCACTAGCATATGACAAACAAATCACATGAGTGAAACATGCAAAGGAAATTAGCAAATATTTACTAACATAGATTTTGAAGATAATCACAATATCATGTAAATTACCAACGGTAACTTCCATGTTAGACCCTGTGGAGCACGACAATGTAGCTTCTTCATAACACTGTAGTAAATAAAGTACATTCAAATTTTAAGAGATGCCCAAGCAGCCTGCTGATTCCGAGGCAGGAGCAGTCCCGGCAGCAGCTGCTGAAGCTGCAGCAGCCCCGGCAGCGGCTGCCGAGGCCAGAGATGCCCGGGCAGCCGCTCCGGCGGAGCAGCGTAAGGAGCACCAGCCGAGGCCGTCGCTGCCTCGGCATCGGAGATGGGGGCCTGGAAGTCGTGCTATTTCGGCGGTTTTTTTTTCAGAGGTGCAGTTAGAGAGTGCCTAACGGTTATTTAACACTAAAAAAATTGATAAATAAATAAATTACCTCGTTAATAAACTTGACCCAGGCACGTGGCCAATCAATGAGGATACCTATAGCTTGCCAAAGCTTTGTTATCCTAACCTCCTCTATTGGTACGGGTAGTGGGATGTCTTCGAACCCCTCAACCACCGAAGCGATCCCAACCGATTAATGATGTGGCCCCACCGTAGCACCGGTCGTTGGTTGTGCACTACCATACACCACGAAACTCAACTCCATACTATTTGCATGCCCCGGGGCTAGAAATGCACGCCCACAAGTACAAAAAAAAGATATTTAAATAGGTCTTTTACTACACCATAGATAATATAATGAAATTTATTAAGGTAGAGGGTTACAAAAAAGATATTCATGCGGTGTTGGATTATCAAGCTCCCTCGAGTCCGCATGTGTAGGAGTAGGAACCTGCAACAATTCATCAATCATGCCACCTCAGATCTCAATTAACTCAGCATTTTAAAATTTTTAATAACCCAATTGAAATTACCTCAGGTGACACATCTTCACCATGTATATCATCTCCTCCATGTCTATCACCTTCTCCTTGTTCTTTTGGTTGAGAACATGAGTCGACTGGGGTACTCGCGAGGAACAAAAAAGTCGTTAAGTTCATCTGCTTTGCCAAAGCATTGAATTCACCGACTAACTCGTTGCGTACTTGTTCCTTAATTGTTGCCACCTTGGCATCCAACTCCCCCGGCGAGTTAACACTGGCTCGAGATCTACTCGATTTCATGTATTCTGGACCCATCACCTTTTTCCATCCAAGCAATGACCCTACCGAACCTACTACTCGTCCTGGATGGTATGGCCTTCCCAAAGCCATGGTGAAAGGTTCATTCTCCACACTTGGGACCAATATGCCCCCCACCAGCTCTTGGGTATGCTCAAGCTGTAGCAAAAGGAAAATGGATGTCAGTAATACAATTAATGGTTTGTATAGTGATTTTGATGCAAAATCGTCTAAAAATTTAACAGTTCATAGGTAACTTAAAAGTTTATCTGCCATTTTTTTTGGTTTCCGGACCTTAGATGACCCATTTTCCGGTTTCCTTATCAAACGTATGGAGAGAAAAAAAGAAATCACCAGCACGACTCACCAAAGTAGTAATCGTGGAACTAGAGGGTTCCTTCGATGCCACTAGAAGAGATTTAGGGTGTAAACCCTTTTGGATCCGCTCAGGTCTCTTTTCAGCAAATGTCTTAGCCCCCATATGATGGACGTACTCCTTCTTCTCTGCATTTTTTTAGTTTGCTCTCGAAGTTCCTACACAAAATTAAATGTTAGTATCATTGCTACAAGAAGAGCCAAGCTATTATACAATTGAGATCAGATTTACACAAACTTACAATGGCTTTCTTTTGAGTCTTCATTCTAACGAACTCTTCCCAGTCTTCTTTTAACACGGTCGACCATTTTTGCCATGGGAGAAGGTCATCCTCATCAGCTTTCTTCTTCTTTGATTTCTTCTTCTTTTTGTACATCCATCTATTAGTTAAGTTGGTCTTAAA